AATGGCAATACAAAGATTGACAGGACCTTTATAAGTCTTGTGGAAAATTCACATTTTTAATTAAAGATCCTCATCACCTTGCTTATAATCCTTACAGCTACTTTCTTTAACACCTCATCAAAAACAAAATAATGTATATCAACATCCCAAGATTCTAAGCTATTAAGATACAGGTAGTCCCAAATTTATGACAGGGTTCTGTTACTACATTAAAGCAGTTCTTATAAAAGTCAATACCTTTTTTAGTTTTTATTATTATTACTTTAGTAGCAGTATCTTTATAAATATGATGTTTGTCTTTAGAGTTTTGAAGCATTACATAAAAATATACAGACATATTTAAATAAATACATGTTACTAACAGTAAAACATACATAAAAATCAAAAGGAGAACTAGATAGTTGTAAGTGTGGTTCATAGTAGCTCAAATGCAGTGAATTGGAGGGACCGTTCACTGTCATCAAGTCTATGGTAACTCACAGCCATCCTAAAGGGCAGGGTAGAACTGCCTTTATGGATTTCCAAGACTATACCCCTTTGAGAGAGTAGAAAGCCTCATCTTTACCCTGCAGACCTGCAGGTGGTTTCAAACTGCTGAACCTGTGCTTAGTAACCGACGATACCACCAGGGACTGCCCACATGTAAGTGAACAAATCCCTAGAGAAGTAGAAGTTAGACTTTTGATTTCTTTTTTTTTCCCTCTCCTTTGAATGGTGAGTACTTGGTTTGTGTTATTCAAGCATGACTGCTAGTATGCATACATTATTCTGTGAACATACTCTGAAGGAGCCTTGGTGGTGCAGTAGTTAAGCACTTGACTGCCAACTGAAAGGTCAGCAGTTTGAACCCACCTGTTGCTCTGTGAGAGAAAAATGTCGCAGTAAGTAGTACAGCCTTGGAAACTGTTCAGGACACCATTCTATAGCAACCAACAATGTCTCTAAAGCCAAGGAACAATGCACCCTTCTGGCTCTTTCAAATTGTCGGATGTTAGAATAATAAAGTTGTGAGATTGAAACATTTTGAAGAGTAAAATACAGATCTTTCATTCTGTTAAGATTTTTTCCAGGTTCCATGGTGTTGTGAAAAGACGACAAAATGTTGCGTACGAGTGATACAAACCTGGCCCAGGTACTGAGGTCTTCGGCACCATGGTCTTTGGTCTTTGATTACACTGTAACATAGTTGTTATCAAAGATCAAAAGGTCTTTGGTCTTTTGATTACACTATCAAATAGTTGTTTTGAACACTTAACGCTTACAGGAAATAATGCATGTAAAGGGCTTTGTAAAGTCAATATTGCAAGTTGAAGGCCCTACTTTTATGTTACTTTAGGGAGTGTAAAAGTGAGACTCATCACTGAGATGCACTATTAATTCCTATTTATATATCCTAAAATATTAAATTATTGTTGGTAAGACTCAGCAAAGGTTTTCTTGTTTTGTTTTGTCTTTTTAAAAAATTTCTCAGCTTACAGTATTGAACTAGCAATTTTTAAAAAAGAATTTGTAAGGAAATCACATTTCTATTTACAATTTCTATAATGAACAAGCCGTTGGCGTTTTTTGTTTCGATCACTGGGTCAGTGTTGACTCACGAGTCCTGTAGAGAAGTAACAACTGCATCAGGATGAACGGAGAAAAGAGTGAAGCTGCCAAGGACTTTGTCTTGTCTGCATCCACCATCAATGCTCATGGAAGCAGCAGGCAAGAAATCAAACATTGAATTGCATTTAGCAAATCTGCTGTGGAAGATGTCTGTAAAGGGTTCAAGAGCAGGGCTGTCATTTTGAGGAGGAGGAGGGTGGGCCTTCCCCAAGCCATGGTACCCTGGGTCACCTCAGGTGCATAAGCAAGAGGGAAAGTGAGTAAGGGGAACTGTAAAAGAACCAACTGCTCCCCAACACATAACCCACTCCACCGATTTCAACCACAGAAAAGACAAAGGGTCCAATCAAAAACGAGGAAAGGGCATAAACAGACATTGTCGTTGAAGAAGACAGATGGCTAACTGATCATTAAACGAAGAGGAATCCGGCATCAGGATTGAAGGAGACTTAGCAACATGCGGATGACACAACCTAACACGCTGAGAGCGAGGATGGTCAGGATCGGCAGGGTTTTGTACTGTTTTTAACAGGGTCGCAGGCTCAGTGGTCTCTAACAACAGCAGATCTCGTCTTCGTTCACATTTGTTTACGAGTCTTCCAAAAATGTTCTTGAGCATTTTGATGTGTTGTATGTGTCCTGCTCAGCCATTCCCACACAAGTTCATTCCGTAACATTGGTTGCTCACCATGTCCAGAACTCACCGTGTCCACCCTATCTTCCCCGTTTCTGTCCTCCACTCGCCCTACTTCCTCCTCGCGTTCTCATCTTTGCTTTTGAGTAATTGTTGCCTCTTTGATTTCATTTTGATTATTCTAAGGAGCCGATCTTTTACAGGCCAATCTATTTTGTGACTTAAAGATGACTTCCAGGATTGGATTCCACCCTAGGTTAAAAGAATATCTTAGTGCGATCGTCTGAGGGCTGCATTCAGTCTCGCTTAGTGTCATAAGTCTGGTGTTTCTTATGAATTTAAGGTCCTTGTATGGTTTTCTCATGCAAACCCGGCATGAGATGCTCTGTCCTCAGTCAGAAGGTGGTGGTAGCGGCACCATCGAGTTCTGCTCTCAGCCAGAGACAGCTTCATCGCAGTTCCATTAAGTGTTTGGACATGTTTAAAAGTTTCAATAACTTTCCCCCTATGTGCCTTATTTTATTTTCTATTTAATATAAGTTATATATTAGACAATACATAGCAATAATAATAATATCTAGTAAGCATATAGGAGGGAACTTCAAAAGTTCCTGAAAAAAATCCATTACCTTTTAATTTCATTTTCCATGAAAATTTTGAAGACATCTTTTAAAAATATATATATATACAGTATATATACACATATGCCTGCAACTATCCATATATATATATATATATATATATGTATTTCTATATACTCTACCAGACTTACATAGCATACATATATATTTTTATCTTCCAGGAACTTTATAGTTTTAGCTTTACCATTTACATCTTTGAACCATTCTGAGTTCATTTTTGTGCATGATCTACTTCATTTTTTTTTGCATGTGAATATTCAATCTTGAAGGAACCTTTTTTTTAAATCATTTTATTGAGGCTCGTACAACTCTTATCACAATCCATACATCCATCCATTGTGTCAAGCGCATTTGTATATTTGTTGCCCTCATCATTCTCAAAACATTTACTTTCTACTTGAGCCCTTGGTATCAACTCCTCATTTTTCCCCCTCTCTCCCCCTCCCTCCCCCCGTCATGAACCCTTGCTAATTTATAAATTATTATTATTTTGTCATATTTACACTATCCAATGTCTCCCTTCATCCACTTTTCTGTTGTCTGTACCCCAGGGAGGAGGTTATATGTAGATCCTTGTAATCGGTTCCTCCTTTCTACCTCACTCTCCCGGTATCACTACTCTCAGCACTGGTCCTGAAGGGACCATCTGTCCTGGATTCCCCGTGTTTCCAGTTCCTATCTGGTCCAGTGTCCATCCTCTGGTCTAGCCAGATTTGTAAGGTAGAATTGGGATCATGATCCGGGGGAGCCCGGGGTGTGGAAGCATTTAGGAACTAGAGGAAAGTTGTATGTTTCATCATTGCTACACTGCACCCTGACTGGCTTGTCTCCTCCCCGCAACCCTTCTGTAAGGGGATGGAAAGGACCATTTATTAAAGAGACTGTCTCTTCCATATTTGATGGACTTTGTACTTTGTCAGCTGCCTATAGATGGATGGATTTACTACTGAGTTCTGATTTTTTTATTTTTAAGGGAGCTTCAAAAGTTCATGGAAACGGAATGAAAAGATAATGGAATTTCTCAACGAACTTTTTGAAGGCCCTTCCTGGTTATTTGTTAGTGTAACAATGGCAGGCTATTTTGGTTACTACCTTTCTACATTAATTTTTGAAATTTAAAAGTAAAAGACCTCCTACTTTGATCTACATTGTTGTATTAGCGATCCAAACCTCCTTCCTTTCGGTTTGAAATTGAAGATTAATTTTTCCATTCTATTAAAAATGCTATTGGGATTGGGATTGCATTACATCTATAGCTCACTTTTGGTAGTGTTGACATCTTCACAATGCTAAGTCTTCTAAGACACAGATATGGAATGTTTTTCCATTAATGTATCTCCTTTAAACTCTTGCAGGAGTTTTCCTTGTGTCTCTTGTTTGTCCCTGGCTAGATGTATTCCTATGTGTTTTATCCTTTGGAGGCGATGTACACCGTTTTGTTTTCTCGCTGTACTTTTTGAGTTTTCATTGTTAATGTAGAGGAAGCCAACAGATTTTTCACCTTAATCTTTTGGCCTGCTCCCCTTGTTTCACACCAGTTTCTCCCTCTCCTGTTGGGGATTCTATACCATTGCCTTCTTGTGCTTCCTGCCTACGAGAGCAGGTGGCTTTGTCTTAAGATGTCTGTGCTGTGCTGTTCCAATGGGAAAGGCATGTCTGGTCTGTGCTTCTCATTTGCTGATTTCATTTGGTTTCTTCTGCCAATTAATGCTAGCTCTAATCCTTATCATTCCTTTTGGTGCTCAGGCTTCAAGGATGGTCACCTCCTGTGTCTGTTTCACTTGGTGGCTTGAGTCCTTACTGTCGGGAGACAGTATGATGTGTAACAAGCTGCCCTCTGGGAGCATCTCTGAAAGGAAATTTGCTTTGCTACCTGCTCTCCTATTTCATCCTTAATCACACGATCTGTTATTAGTCTCTACATTGCCAAATACATAATAATTTGATATTACATTATAAAAAATTGGACTGTACCTTATAAAGCCCTTTGGATATATAATTGCATTGTAAAATTAGTCTCTAAGCACTAACATAACTATCATGCTATTACATCATAAATTAATGCCAACGTGAGTGTGGTTGAAACAAATTCCACTAACTTTTTGTTTCCCTTCTAGTGGCTATGTCTTTGACTATGATTACTACAGAGATGATTTCTACAACCGGTATGTAATTTCTGTTCCATTCTTTCCCACCTTTGATTTCGCTTTCTCTTTCCTTCTTAACAGTTTTGTGTACTTGACTCAGATCCACTTGACTATAGAGTTTAATATTATACAGTTAAAATAAAGCACTAAGTCCTAATATGGACATAGTTTATATTTCAATTATATGGATTAAAGTATGATATAATATATTTGGGGTTTTAAGATTTTTGAGGTACTTAAGCTTAAAGAATAGTTTCTATTATTAGATGA